AGCTAGGCTGCGCCGTGCGAACTGAATGATGTCATGCTCCGGGGCCGCGCGTGACCGCCGGGGCCCGCCCTCGCCGCCCATTGGTCGCAGCCCGTCGCCCGTCAGGCCAGCGACGCCTCCCATTGGCCGGCGCCTCCGCCCCGCCGCCGCCCCTCGGAAAATAATAAACAATCGAGTAAAATGCGGCGCGGGGCGGGGGTCCGGGCGGGCTCCGCGCCCCTCGCTCCGGGCGCTGCCTGCAGCCCTGCCGCCAGAAAAGCCTTTCCTGAAGGTGCCGTGGCGCTCGCACGGAAATTGCCTTCAGCCAGAAGCTACTGCTGCACCGAGGACCAAGCAAAGCCATCTCTCGGCTTTCCCCGATCCCGTTGTCTCAAAGCTAAGTTGTGCCAGGCTGCAGGTGCCCTACAGATGCGGGTTCGAGGCGGTGGAGAGCTGTGTGCGGTGGGACGGGAAGGGACTGGGTGGGTACGTGTCTGGCAGCCAGGTGTGCCATTCCAGTGTGCCAAGTGCCTAGAGGCAGGGCACCGACAGCGAGACCTGTAAGCCACACCTCTGAAACAATGTCAGTGTCGGCTGTCTTCACGGGACAAAAGCGTCCCCGAGGTGACCGTCCTGTCCGCATGGTGCTGGGCAGAGATGCATCCTCAATCCTTGCTTCGTTGTGGTGGTGCCTACACAGCACAGCCCCACAATAACTACCTCTCACAGCCCTGCTTCCCTCTACCTGCAAACAGAAGGCGCGCTTGTGCAGCAGGGGATTTAATGGGGGATCAGGTGACGAGAATGACGGCTGCGGGAAAGGATTTACTTTTTCTCGGGCTCGCAGCCTGGCCTCTCCTTTTGACAGCAGGTGCCCAATACGGCCTATTTCGCTTCCTCCAAATAATTAATTATTTTCTCCCGTACGTGGCCCCTGGAGGAAGAAGTCTAAGCACCTCCCTCATGCTGTCATCCTGTATTTCCAGTGATCAGAGCACTTGTTCAGGAGCTGAAGATGTGGCTCCTGGTCCTCTTCCCAGGACTTTGTGTTTTCTTCTCTGACAGATGTTTGATGTAAAGTACATAGAGCACACTTTCAAAAGGGGACTGAAATCCAAGGCTGCTCCCCTCCCTTGCCCATGGCAATGTTATTATTGCTAGGTCATGGCCTCTCCTTGATTGCTCCCGTGAATCCCGAAGCCCCACCCTCTCCCCCAAGCAGCAATACGGGTTCAACAGGCTGGTTGGAAATGGAGTGCGTGTCAGGCTAGCCTGCCTCCCTGGTAAAATACTCTTCGGGAAGGTCAGAGCCAGGCATCTAAACCCCGGCGGGCAGAAGGAGAAAATGACCTCGTGTTCCTGGTGTGAGGGGCACTGCAAGGCACACAGGGGGAAGGAACTCTCCCCCGGGGAGTTGAGGAAGGGTTCAAAGGGGCCGGTGAAGTGTTAAGCAAAAGCAGTCGGCGGCTTAGCACACGGTGGAGAAGTCGACTGTAAGCATTTGCAGCTGGTTCTCTCTCTCCTGCCTCGGAGGAACTGGGAAACTGCTGACTCAGGAGCTGCATCGAGTCGGACGAATGGGAAGGGGCTCATGTTTCCCGAGTGCCTGTATGCGCCGCAGAGCGACGGGATAGCGCCGGGCACCTCCTACCTGCTGTCCCGTCTTGGAAAAGCGATGCCAGCAGCGTGCTCGAAGAAGCCAGAGCCTGTTGGTATGTGTTGGATGTGCTCTGAGCAGGCTGCGCAGCCGGGGCCGTGGGTCTCGTCTTGCATGGAAACGTGTCCGAGCCACGAATTCCAGCGCTGGGTCCGGGGGAAAATAGGCACGGAGCTGCCCGACATGGGGTGGTTGTGTGTATGTGAAAGGCAGAATATCCTGTATCGTGAGATGCTGACAACCTAAAAATAGGACTTTATTGCCTCCAGGATTAGGCATCTAATTAGGAGCAGGGGATTTTGGGAGGACAGTTCTGAACTTTAATGCCTCGGTTCTGCCCCGGTACTGTTCTGCTGTTAAAGACTTTACATTCCTTGCAGCTCATGTGAGCGTCACTCAAACATGCCCAGGGCGTGCAGTTATAGCAACTGCCCTGAAAAATCTTCCTGGAATCTGAAAAGTTGAATTCTTCCATTTGCACACACCCTTGCCTGCCTTGCAAAATAATTTCCTTCAGTTTAGCAAACCAAAACTTCAACTGAAGTAATTCACTGCCAGTTTACCTATGGAGAGGCAATGACAGCAAGAGTGAGACCTAATATTTTGTTCGGTTTTAATTTTTTTTTTTTGGGTACCATTTCAGTGAGCCCATCTAATTGAATACATGTTAATCTGCTAAAGAGCATGCTGTTTTAAATACTGTAGCTACTCTTCATAATAGGCATATCTAGTTTAAAATATAAATAGAGATATTATAATTTTTTAGCCAAAATGGACTTTTTTCCTTGGAAGTAAACAGGGAAAACTGGGGGAGGAACTCTAGCTGAGGTCTGACAGATGTTCAAGTATGTGAAGCTTAAAGAGGAACGTGTGCTATTCAGTTTGCTCACGGAGCCTTTGTGACCTGTGTCTTCGCAGTAATGATGACACAAGCTTTTTTGAATAAAAGGAAGAAATTAACTGCCGTGGCTAATTGCACCCTTGCTAGCTTGCTAACTAAGGACACCATTTGACTGTGAAAATTGTTGGTGTACCCAAATCTCTCAGCTGGAGAGAATATCCAAAGTGAGAGTGTTCCCATGTCTGTGGGTTAGAAGGGCTATTTAAAAAACTTCCTTTAATTGGAAAATTAAACACTATTGCTTTAAAACAGTGGTGCACTGCTTTAAAAAATTAAGATCATATGGAATCATTTATTGTTTTTCAATATGTATTCAGTCTCTGGTGCAATTTTATGTACTCGCTAATGTATAAAGTCTTTTGGAGCAGGAATAAAGCACCACAAAGCATGATTTAATGCTACAGGGTCACCAGATCTGTTTCACATTACTGGATGTTACAATCTGCTGAAAAAAAGGGGCTGTCCCTGAACCAATGAAACAATGATGGGGAAGTGGGGGGGAAGCCCATAAATCTGAAACACTTTGGAAACATAGTGCACATATCAAGAAAAACTTTTAAAGGATTCAGTGGGGATTTGGCTGCATAAGAGATTAAAATTATGTAAATTTATATTAAGAACAGGAAAGTTAAAGTATTAATAGTTCAATATTTGGTTGCAGTTTAAGGCGTCTTAATAAATCATGTTTTCAAACAGTACAGGCCTACATAAGCATGTGACTGTAAGAGAAAATAAGAGCAAGTAATCCGGGAGTGCACAAAAAACAAAAGTGCTTTTGTTTTTAGTTCTGTGGTCACTGGAAGTGCCTATTCTTGTGCTTATTCACAAACACCTCTGGCTCCTTCTTCCAGAAATCCTATCCAAACGTTTTTGTTCTGACTTCGTTAGAGGACTTTGTGCTTCAGTTCTTTTCATATGACTTGTTCAGGGTTCAGTCTTACAATGCCTTTCCTCTGGCAAGGGACTGAGATGGGTCTGATGCCTTCGCTGCCTTCTTTTTTTTTTGCCTTTTGCCTTCTTTTTCCCCCCCAGAATGACAAGCTGTGGGGCAGTTTTTGCTCTCAGGGCCTGGGCATTTCCCTTTCACTGGTTCAGCAGGGATCAACAAGAAGAGGCCAAGTCTGACAAGTAAACCATGCATGGTTTGAGCCACCTGGCAATGAACTCTGCAGGCATGGGAGGCAACCTTTCTGTTTTTATCATGAACCTCAGAGCAGTATAACTGGCTGGCTAGTTATAATTTGACAGAAACCCCATTTTTCATCTTGCTGTGGTGGCATGCTTTCTTTTAAATGTCATCTGTAGAGTCTCCCAGTGAGTGGGAACTTCAGTTTTACTTTGTATTTCCTACAGATACTGACAAAAACTAGTCTACCACATTACTCAATAAGAGCCGTATTTCTTCTTAGAGGCCTAAGCACACTAAAAAGAGTTTGCAGTAACTTTAATACTTCAATCAAAATATTTTTCACTACATATTTGTCATTTATAACCAATAGAATAATTGACTGGGTTTTTTATTAATTTTGAAATCTTATATTTTCAGCTTTATTAAGCAAGTAAATTAATTGTCAGCTTTCCTGTAGCACTGGAGCTTGTTCATCATGGCTGTGCCTTCCATCATTCTTTGGTAATAGATAGTAATAATTTCAAATAAGTTCAGCTCTTTTGTTGAAAATAAACAGAGTATGCATGTGTCTTCTGGATCAGCCCCTTAATGTGACCTCTCCTGTCTGCTCAAATTATAGTATCAAAATAAAAATCTTCAGAAAAATTTGAGCCAGTTGAATGAATACATCATCAGTATTAAAACCAATACCATGAGGAGTTATTGCTGTCTTCAATTAACTTTTGCCTAGATCCTATATCTTAGCCATTGTAAAATCTTAAATAAAGTCCTCTTTAAAGTCCTTTCAAGCTTTTTCAGAAACAGTTACCAGTTTAGGCATATATTCCCACTTTTACTTGTATGTATGTTTGTTAAGACTGTTGCTTGTCTGTAGATGGCAATAGCATTACAGTGCTGAAGTAGCCCCCAGCCTGTAAAATAAGGCTGTGATGCTGGTGAGCATTAACTTTGAGAATGAAGAGGAAAAAAAAAAATCTTGCCTTTTTCTTTGCTGTTTGTTTGTTTGTTGAACATCTGCAGCAGTGGCAATGGGGACTGTTCTACTTGCAGGAATGTTGGGACTAATCATGTGAGAAAAGATCCTGGAGTGATGAGGCAGCATATTTCCCATGTCTGAGGTCAGGATTTGTTCTGTGAAGCTGACCTTTAAAACAGCCTGAAAATGAGGAACGTGGCACCAGAGAGCAGAGCAGGAAGCCTGAAATTATGTAAGATATGTTTCTTCTGCATATGAAATTCTTTTTTTTTTTTTTTTTTTTAACTCCAGGTTTGTGATTCAGCATTTTCTGCCACTGAGAGATACAAGAAAGGGGAAAAATCTGTAGCAAAAAAAGAGTGCCTATTGTTCTAATCAAAACCTAATAAAATATTAGCCATCAGGTATTTTTGTTCCCTTCTGATGAACTGGGGTTGAGATTATATTTTCCCAAAATCACTCTCCCCTCAGCCTCCTGATCTGAGAACTCTGGAACTGAAGACAAAGTTTTATTTAGGCACAGCCTGGGCACCTTTTCTATATATAATCTGTGTGAAGTGCCTCCAGCTTTGTTGGCTTTGAATTCCTGGGTGACTGCTGTTTCAGCTCTGCCAAGCAACTGCAGGACAGGCCTGTGATGAGGAAGCTCCAGGGTGCTGGTGCCCAATGGATGTTTGGTGCAGGACAGGCAGGTCAGGGAGCCCTCAGGGTTAAAGCATCAGCTTGGGTGAGGTTGCCAGCCTGGGTTTGATCCCAACTGCATGGTGATGCAAGCCCTAGACACAAGCTCTCCTCTCTGAGCTTATGCAAAAGTGCCTTCACTGCCTTTTTCACCTTCTTGCCTTTTTGCCCTGTGCCCTTTCCCTTGCTGAGATGCATGAGGTTGCATTGAGAGCTTGGATGCAGCTGCCGGATGCCCCAGCCTGTTGCTGCCTCCCTGGTCTTAGAAATGCTGCTGACCTGTTTGGAAGGAGAAAATTAGGGAGCCTTTTCATCCTTCTCCCTCCTTGGAGACTGATTCTGTGTTAAGATGGCATTTACCTCTCTTGATAAAGGAGGTGGCGGTGGTGTAGAGCACTCCCAGATAGTGGAGCTCAGCTGGGTTCCTGGCACAGTGCTGGCCTCAGGATATTAGCATTTTCCCAAACAATTCCCAGGTATGGGCATAAAAAGTCTGCAGTCACTACCCTTCGATGGGTAAGAGGGTTTAGCAGCCTGTACACAGCCAGTCTGTGCCCACTGGCTCGTTTATCCCTATGGATGTGGTCTGGGTGTGCCTGGGGCGATCTGTGCTCAGAGCAGAACCCTGCACAGGGACAGCCTTGCTTCCCAGTGTTGAATTATGTCACAGGGAAGAAGGAAGACAGCCTTGTCATGCTTTCCCTTACCTGCTGAGATGGCAGCAGCAGCAGAGGTGACTGATGGCTCTTTTTTGGTTGCTCCAAATGCCAGACAGAAGGAAGCAGGCTTGCATCTGCCTCAGACTCTGAATAGATTTTTTTTTTTTTTGTTTAAGAGTCCTAAGGGAGAAGCAAATGGATATAAGCACGTACTGTATTTGTGAGACCAGCACTGGGATGGCCTGCATGTTATAAATTGATGTTGAAAAATGGGTTGTGGAACATTAGAGCCACACAAAATGATTCAGAGCCTGAAGAAAATGCTTTGCAATGGGAGACATGAAGCACTTTGTCTCTTTAGTTTATCAAAAAAGGCTGAGCAGAGAATTGATTATGATGGTGAAGGAACTTCCTTGGAAGAAAAATATCAGGTACTGAAAGGCTCTTTAATCTAGTAAATTATGGGAATGTGTTTCAGCAAGCTGAAATCAGATACATTCATGTGAAAAACTGGTCACAAATTTATTGGAATGAAGGTGGTTAATCACCATAACAAGCTGTCAGGGTAGTTGGAACATTTTCCAGATGTGCCCAAGCCAAGACAGGCCTGTTTCTGAAGGGTGTGCACTAACCACAGTTAAAAGCACGAGGGACACTGCAGTCGAGTCTCAGGCAAGGTAAACAGGTGAGGTTTGAAGGACTGCGATGTGTGACAGGCTTGACTAACAGCTCCCAAAGGAGCTGTGAAGATCTAATGGTTCCCATCTGTCCTTAACCTCCCAGAGACTGAGAAAAACAGCACTTAGCAGAAAGTGGAAGGCAGGAATCAGAATGACAGCCTCATGGCTGGCACACTCCTGTGACCTCTGTTTCTGGAAGGACTGAGTCTTGCACCTACTTGGGGCTTTGCTAATGTTTGCTCTACTGCCAACACAAGAACAACCTATCTCCAGTCCACAAGCTCTCTGTACAGACTGGCATCAGCACCTTTCATTTTAGGAGAGCATGAGTAAAAATTTGTCGTGCTCGGCAGCTCAGTGGTAGCTAGGATAAGTAGTTTCCTTTTTCAATTTTTTTTTTTTTTTTTTTTTTTTAATTCCATCTTCACAAGCTTTGGTCTTGCTTGTTCTTCACACCTCCTAGTTTCCCTAGTATTTCCTTGTATTGCCTTTGCCACCAGGCTCAGTGTATTTTCCTGCACTGGTAATTTGTGGTGCAGGATGTCTTGGAGGGTGCTTCCTACCTCTAATTTGACAAAATAAACCCTGTCTTTCTTGCACAGATTTACGTGGGATGGGTATGTCAGTGATGTGCTGTGTAGACAAGAGCTTGTCAGGAACTTTTAAATGAACTACCTTTCATCCAGAAGTACAAGTTTGTATCCGCTGTAGCTACTGACAGAAACACATTAAGGTGTCTTTGCAAAATACCTGCAGTCTGTATCTCGAGAAGTGCCCTAATCTAATTTTAAAAACAAGGCTCTTTTTCCAGAAAACCAGTTGGTGGCGGAAATCAGGAATTTCTTATCTCCTGTTGCCTTTTCTGGGGTCCCAGTACTTTCACGCTTATTGCCCATCTGCCAGGGATGATGCAAGTATTTTATACTCTCAAGCCCTAAGACAAGTTTGCTCACTTTTTCCTTGTTCCAAAGGGCAAGGTACAAAGTCAGAGCTGAAACAAGGCAAGCGATTTCCACACAGCATCCCTATCTTCAAATTGGAGAGGCACGGATTTGAAAGGTGGACTGTTTGCTAGATAAGGCATTGACTGGATGGATGCAGCCAGAGAGCTGAGGTCAAAGATTCCATGCCTAGGTAGAGGCTGGTGCAGAGTGGTGTCCCTCGAGGCTCTGTCTCTTTAGTACCTTTATTCATGACAGTAGGACCAAGTGCAGCCTCAGCAAGTTTGCAGATGGCATAAAGCTGAGCGATGCAGTTGGCACAACAGAGGGAAGGGATGCCATCTAGGGGAGGCTGGACAAACCGGAGAAGTGGGTGCATGAGAACCTCCTGAGGTTCAACAAGTGCGAGGTGCTGCAGCTGCATCAGGGCAATCCCAGACAGTACAGACTGGCAGAAGAACTCGTGTAGGTCAGCCCTGTGGAGAAGGACTTTTGGGTTCTCATGGATGAAAAGCTGGATAGGAGCCACAGTATACACTTGCAGCTCAGAAAGCCAAACACATGCTGGGCTGCATCAAGGGGTGTGGCCAGCAGGTCAAGGGAGGTGATTCTGCCCCTTTGCTCTCTGAGTCCCCACCTGGAGTGCTGCATCCAGCTCTGGGGTTCCCAGCACAAGATGTGAACCTGTGAGACTGAGCCCAGAGGAGGCCATGAAGATGATCAGAGGGATGGAGCACCTCTCTTGCCCAGACAGGCTGAGTGAGCTGGGATTGCTCTTCTCTTGATGGAGAAGAGGAAGCTACAGGAAGACCTCATTGCAGACTTCCAGTACTTAAAGTGGCTTATAAAAACGAAGGAGAGAGGCTTTTTACATGTAGTGATAAAGCAAGGGGAAACGGTTTTAAGCTTAAAGAGGATAGGTGTAGATTAAATGTTAAGAAGAAATTCTTTACTGTGAGGGTGGTGAGACACTGGAACAAAGAGGATGCCCTATCCCTGGAAGTGCTCAAGGTCAGGATGGAGCTTGAAGCAATCTGATCAAGTGAAAGGTGTTCTGGCCCCTGGCAGGAGCACAGGAACTAGGTGATTTTTAAGGTCCCTTCCAACCAAAACCAGTCTATGATTCTATGAATGAAGGGGTGGAGTTGTCATCCAGTTGTCATGCAGTTGTTGTCAATACCCACAATCCATTAACCTGGCTAATGGACTCTCTAAACACAGAAGTTAGAGGTAGAGCAGGGTTTTGAACTGACATCTCCAAATAGAGTCCTGAACTTACTTTAATGCGGGGAAAAAAACCCTTTGAAGACTAAGAAATGTTGGGTGGCAAGGGGGGTTCTGTTTGTTTTAGATTTGGGGTTTTTTTCAGAGAACACACAAGAAGTTTTCCAAGCAGTTTTCCTGAAGCCCACATACCTCTGGAAAGTAGCAGAAGTATCTGCATGAGCAAAGAGCTCCAGCACAGGAAAGTACAGAGGATGTAAGAAGAATAGGGGTTTGACTGGAGAGATGGAAGTGGTGAAGTCCTGCAGCCACTGGTAGGCTTTTCTGCAAAGACTGCAGTTGCAAACAGAGCCAGGCAGGAGCTCACCCAGACTTTAAGAAACATTTTGTTTTAGAACTTAAGAACCCATGTTTTAGTCTGAACTGAACTCATGAGTCTAAAACTTCTTTAAATTCTGGATGAATGTTGCTTTTAATCTTGCCCTGTAGCTTGGATCCATTTGTTTAGTCATTGGCCAGATGAAGGTTATTCTTTGTCTCAGAGAAAAGATTTACCTTTGCTGTCTGTCTCAGATTAGCTTACTGTTGTCCCCACAGTTCATCTGCTTTTATATGCATATCCTGCTGCTAAATGTGGATAAAATTAGCAGATAGTCCTTTCACTCTCTTTCCTTTCAGCTTGTTGATCCAGGATTCAGTCGTATGCATGGTAATGTGTAGCTGAAGGATGTTGGCCCTGCCCAGCTGGCTTAGATCTCACCTCTTAGCCTGTACTCAAAAAAAACCTACCTATTCTGAGCAGCATGGGAATCTCTCCAGGGCCCAGAATGTGAAAATTAATCAATTCTTGTAGAAATGTTTCTGTAATGCTGTGGAATCCAGCCAACAGACATGATGAATGTGAAAACTGTTTTCTAGGACATCCAATTTCATTTAATTTTGTCAAGCCCAGAGAACTTTTCAGCAAATGTCTGTATCCTTCCATCCTGCATCCTTTTGTGATGTGGTTACCCTGGCAATCCAGCTGACTTTCCAGAAAAGCCAGCTCCATCAAAGTTCATTGACTTGCTACATTAAAGGCCTTCAGTAGGCTTCAGCACCTATTGATGCCAGTTCTTCCACGGGCTTGGACTGTTATGAGAAGAGATTGGCAGAGAGGGTTATGCTCTATGGTTGATTTGAGCTGATTTTTTTCCTTGTTTCTTCTTCACTCTACATGCACCAATAATTTTGAAACATATAATAATATGTTTAAAACAAATAAAACCAATAATTTTTCTGCATATCATCAGATTTCTGTTCCAGCAGATTCTCTATAGGGGTAAAGTGTTCCACTAAAGGTCTCTTCTTGTGTACCTCCCTTCAGTGTGTTTGTGCAATAGTTTGACTTGAAAAAATCTCAATATAATTTCTTCCTTTAGGCAAGCCACAGAGGGACCAATGTTTAACAAGTTTGTCTATATTTTCTACTTGAATTTAGCATTTTTTTAACACTTGAGATTAAGAAATAGAGCCTAAAAGGTACTTAAGTATGTAAGAACACTGAGCATTGAAATGCCTGACTCCCTGAGTGCCACATGGAGTGCTTGCACTTTATGAGGGGAAAGTTGGGTGCCTCAGAAGAACCTGAATGCACAAGGAGCTGCTTGCACCAATCAACAGAGGTATGAGCCTGGAAGGGGAAATCACATGGGGAAGACCAAGCAGACAAGAGCTGCTCTCATGATAAAAAACAAACAACAAAATAATTTTTAGAAACCCGAAGTGAACAACAACCCATGAAATGTTAAACAGAGGTTGACCCATCCCCTCTAGTACCTTCTAGTTTCTTTGCTCATGTTTTTGGAGATGATAGTCTGTACATTCTCCTGGGATATTGTCAGAGGGTAGGATTTCTGCAAGCTGAACCCTATGGGAGGAGGAGGAGGAGAAGTGGAGACACTGATGATGAAGGGGTGGAAGAAAAGGACTAAAGGAGCTTATTGAAGCTCTTAACCATAGTAAGCCCAAGCAAGGGCCATCTTTTTTTATAAAGGCCTAGTCCTGGGGGTATTTTTGAGGAGCCTGGCATAAGCTGAATCCTACAAATGCCCCAGATTTCAGAGCATTGGGGTTTCAGGCTTGTTCAAAAGCCAGACTCCTCTAAGTCTGTTCCAGATACTGTGATTTTTTGAGAACAGGATCCCAGCAGAAGACAACCACAATAGAGAGATTTCTTCACTGAAATACAGAGATAGAACTCATCAACAGGGCCGCCCCTGAAGTTATGTGAGTCACCGTTTCTCATTGGACCACCTGTATGTGCAGCAAGCATCCCAGAATTACTTCAACCCCAGGAACAGGTGGCACTTCCAGCTCCATTTGCCAAAAGGTCCCCACATGCAGGGGCAGTAATGACCCCCACCAAGAACTTCTGCATTCCACGTGGAGACAGCCTTCCATCACTCAGGCAACACGCTGCCAAATATATGCTAAAAATGATGAGTTGGAGACTGGGATCCACGTGGATCCCTGTCACAAGGTAGCCATGCAGAAGCTTTCCAAAGGTTTATTGGGGGCCTGGGTGTGGCTTTGCTCAGGAGCACACATGCCCTGCACCCTGCACCAAAGGATCCTGCTGGTGCTGTGACCGGGAGGATTCAGCTCGGACCATTGCAAGGCAGCATCTGGCCATGGGGAGAAGGCTGGGATAGGATCAAGCAACATGAAAGGGGTCACAGCACCAAGAGATTTCAGGAAGTTTGGACAGTACTCTCAGACACCTGGTGGGACTCCTGGGGATGGTCCTGTGCTGGGCCAGGAGCTGGACTGGATGATCTCTGTGGGTCCCTTCCAACTTAGATTATTCTGTGATACAAGGAAGCCCCAATTTCATGGAAGGCTTTGTTTCCCAAAATCAGGTTATAGTTGACTGGTTGTATATTAAAAACATATCCGTTTAAAAACATAAATCATGGAATCATGGTGAAGGTTGGGTCATCCCTGTCCCATGGAAGGCTCTGCTGCCCACCTGCCCCGCACTTCCCTGTCCAGCAGCCACCCTGCAGTCCCTCACCACCCCTCTGCCCCCCAATTTTGTGTCCAGCCTGCCTGACATGGGACACAGGGCTGTATCTCATGCTCGGAGTGTGGGTGTTTGATGCCTTTTTTTTTTTTTTTTTCAGTACTTCACAGACATTTTTGAGTTGGAAGGTGCCTCTGGAGATCATCCAGTCTGAACCCTCTGCCAAAGCAGGGTCACCTAGAGCGGGTGACACAGGAACGTATCCGGGTGGTTCGGAGTCTCTCCAGAGAAGGGCTCTCCACAACCTCCACGGGCAGCCTATTCCAGTAACATAAGGAAGTTTTACCTCATGTTGAGGTGGAACTTACTGTGTTCTAGTTCATGTCCACTGCTCCTCATCCTGTCACTGGGCAGCACTGAAAGTAGTCCGCATCATCCTCGTGCTTTTGAAATAGATACCAAACGGGACTTTCTGAAAGGGATCTCAGCCCGGGCTAGTACCGTGTGTTTGCCTGACTTCGTTCCCAGCCTGGCGGTGACACTGGGCTGTATTTTTACCCTCTCCTTGCCAGGCCGCCCCTCCCCGCGCCGCCGCCGCCCGGCCGCGGAGCGCGCCCGCCATCTTGTGGGCTCTGCCCGCCTTGCAGGCCGCCCTCAGCCCAACCCCGGCGGCGCTCGGGGCTTCAGCGGGAGTTTTCCCGAGCAGATTTTAAAAATGGAAGATAACTGGGACTGGAACAGGTTTCTCAGAGAAGGATGCCCCATCCCCTGGCTCAAGGCCACGTTGGGTGGGCCTCTAAACAACCCGGTCTAGTGGAAGATGTCCCTGCCCATGGCAGGGGTGTGGGAACTTTAAGGTCCCTTATATCCCAAGCTATTGTATGATTCTGATTCTGTGATTTTGCAAACAAGGGTAGGAGAAAGCCGAAAGCAGTGTCCTAAGACAGGCATTCCCTTTTATTGCTGGGAAGATTGCAGAGTGAGTGAATGTGTTTCCAGAGCCCCAGCAGGTGCAAGTCCTGTGGGGAACCTGGGCTATCTGGATGACTCTTGTTATCCTAAAGACAGGTATCCCCACAAATCCTTGCCAGTCTAGGATTGAATAGGCCCACCCTGCTAATGTTTTACCATCAGAGAGGTCAGCATGTGCAGATTCTGAGGAAGATGGGCAAAGAACAGGGAATGCGTTTTGACTGGAAGTGCCTCTGAATTACAGAAGCAATGAGTGTGGTTGATGAGAAATTGCCTGCTTGGCACTGATACAACAGCCTGCTGAAGAGAGAGCGATGCAAGTGCATGCACACTCCTCTAGAAAAGAGTGAGGAACAAAAATTTTTCCTCCCCTGAGGCAAGAGAAGAGATCCCAACACACAGTGGAACCGGATGATGGCGTATGATGCGCCCAAGTACAAAAGTATTCCTACAGAATAGGAGCTGGCTTTCCTTTCTCAGTCAATCTTTCATGATAATTTACTGTTTATCCTGCCTTAGCCTGGACTCTCTGTTTTGCCTGGCTAATGGAACAGTGGTGTCTTAATTCACTTAAAATGCAGCATTGTCTGTTACTGTCTGTTGTCACTGACGGTAGATGCACCAAAGTTAGGGGAGAGGGACCCACAAATCCTGACAGCTTCCCTAACATCTCCCTTCAACAGGAGCATCTCAACCCAAGTGAAACAGTAAAATCTCCCCACAACCTGTAGCACAACAGGGTTTTGTACACCCCCCCCCCCCTTCAAGGTGGGGGACCTCCCCTTCCATGGGAGAGCTGTGGAGTAAAGTTAATAGGAAGATGGAAGCTTGTGTCTGTTTTAAGCCAAGAAATTAGAAGCTCTGCCAAAACTCAACTTTGCCCTGCTTTTACCCTCAGCTTACCTTGTTAATATGCTAAAAATATTCAATCATCTTTCTGTTTGAAGGACAGGAGCTATTAGGGTCCAGCTTCTCTTTTGTAAGGACCCATCTTCCACCCTAGTCAAGTACCTAAATACATTGGAGGATTTTGACCCAAAGGCTGAGACTTCTGAAGCTCATTTCTTATTTAGCACATAGGCAGGAGCTTGTGGCATTAACAGCTCAATGGCTTCAGCTCTAAATGAACTGGCAAAGGTATTCTCAGCCCAGAAAGTTTCACTAAAAAAATTTCCAGCTGTAGTAGTTGATCAGAGAAGCAGTGTCTGCCCCTCCTCTTTCCCTTTCCACAGCACTGTTTTCCAGCCTCTCATTCCCCAGTCTGTCCATGCATCCAGGGTTGCCCCATTCCAGGTGCAGAATCTGCCACTTCCTTCACTGAACTTCCTATGGTTGGTGATTGCCCAGTCCTCTGATTTGTCAAGGTCTCTCTGCAGGGTCTCCCTGCTCTCGAGGACTTCAGCACATCCTCCCAATTTAGTATCATCAGCAAACTTACCCAGGATCCCTTCATACTCTGCATTCCAGTCATTTATGAAGATATTGAGGAGCACAGGGTCTAAGATGGAGCCCTGTGGAACCCCAGTAGTCAGGCCACCAGTCCGATGTCACCCCATTCCCTATAGCCCTTCGTGCCTGACTGGTGAGCCAGTTGCTCACCCATGGCATGATGTGTTTATTCAGCTCTGTGCTGGACATTTTGTCCAGAAGGATACTGTGAGAGAGTATTGAAAGCTTTACTGAAATTCAAAATGATTACATTAACTGGTCAGCTAGGTGGGTTGCCTTGTTGTAAAATGAAGTTTGACAAGAAGGACCTTGCCCTCAGGAAGCCATGCTGGCTGGGACCGATGAATGGTGGTTTCCTGCTTGGTCGCTCTCTCCTTGCAAACCTTGTTACTCTTCCAGACCAAGTCACTTATGACACTTTGCTTCTGATTCATCATTGCTGCCTCATTTTGGAAAACTGAAATAAATGCTGGACCAAACCAGGCAGAACTGCAGGGCTGCCTGGGTGCTGTGCTGTGGAGGAGGGTGGTTAAATAGCAGGCAGCTGAGTGTGACAGAAGGAGGAGCTGAGGTGGAGGAGTGGGATGGAGGGTGCCCAAGCAGCACCGTACAGCCCACCAAGGACAAGCAAAGGGATGGAAGGCAGTCCCTGTTCAGACAGGGAACACTAGTTAGTCTGAACAGGAAAAGGGAATCTGGCAAGGACAAGGGCACGTTTTGTAATGGTACAGGGGACCCCTGGAAAGACCGTGAAATGAGAACAATCAATTAACAAGCTGCTGTGGCTTCAGAAAAGCCATTATAGACCTACTGGTGTAATGAGCACATCTGATGCACAGAAGCTATTTAACCTTCAGCCTCTTGCCTTATAAAGCACCTCTGGGGCAGTGGGTAAAGCTGTTAATTATTAAGGTCAACCCTAGCAGACAGAGGTGTCCTCAAGTATGGGTCGTTGTGACACACTCAGATAATTTCTCCATTATGTCAATAACTAATTTCCTGAATTGTTCAAGAATTGACAGATTAGCATCCATTAACCAAGTCTTAACTCATGGCTACGGGAGCAGTTACAGGCCACAGGGACAGCAGAACCCATTTGTAACTCCTCAAGCACATGTGATAGATACACACAGACAGTACTGCAGCAGCTTGCTGTTAGTAAAACAAATAACCAAGGTGTGTAAAAAGGCTGGGCAGGCAGTGACAGGCACTGGCTTGAACAGATGTCTTGTCCTCAGGTGCTCTGAGAGCATGGGATGAAGTCACTATGACTTTTAAAGAACTGTATTGAGGAATTGTAAATTAGCAGAATCACAACTAAACCAAAATACCCATTATATTCACTACCAAAAGGGCTCTTTCCTTTTTTTTTATTGGGGAAAAAAAAATCCACACAGCAAACATTTCATGGATTTGATAAGTGTGACTTTTTACATTGCTTACCCTTATGCTGCAAGACAAATTTCATTGCTTTTATTTATGCAGGCCATATAATTTTGTGTGCCTAAATGCAAACTTTTTTTTCCAAGCAGAGCCTAAGAATAACCTTCAGAAACTGCAATACAGGTAGGTAAGAAATTCCTTTGCTTCACAAAGTGGTTTTATGGTTGCCTCTAAGCCAAGCACGACTGGAAAAGCAGCAGAAGGGACGGGCACAGTTCTGAGGCTGCCTGAGCCTGGCACCCCGGCTGCACCCCGCTCCTGGAGGAGGAGGGAATGGCCGTGACTGCGCCACAGCGTTACCTGTGTCTGCACTTACCTGCCTGAGACTCTTCTGGCTGACTGCCTGGAGGCTGAGGAGAGACAGGGAAGAGAAGGAAATGAAACTATGATGGTGCTAAAACCTACTAATACCAACATTCCTTTAGGGGATCGGTGGGAAGCGAGGCACTGGAAGGCCAGAAGGGTGATGAGCTGCTTTTCCAAGGCCAGCAATGAACACCAAAAGATATTAAACCCTCCCACAGCACAGATGAAAGGGCTGGAGACTGGGGGTATGGAAAGGAGGTCAGAGCAGCTTCTTAAGAAGAAACATTACTGGACTTGCAGCTGCATCTGGGTGTCCCACCAAAGCTGGGGATGATGGGCTGTGCGAGGGGATTTCAGGGGCTTGTCTGTGCTGCTGAAAAGGTGGAAAAGGGGAAGTTCCAAGCACCAACACTTCCCTCAGACTTAGGCTTGTCTCCTGGTTTGTGGCAGGCTTTTTGGCTGTACTGCCAGCTGTTCTGCCCCAAAGGGAGAGTTTCAGCTGTCCACTGCAGGCTGTTTGGAGGGGAAGGGATTGGCAGGCAATGCTCAAATACAGCAGTCCTGTTTAAACGCCAACACAGGGAGTAGAGCGGGCAAGACAGGCAGGGGGTGCCAGCCCAGTCACAGGGTGGCGAACATGGCAGCAGCCCTCATCTCCTAGACTTGTGCCCGGGGAGAAATGTCAAAGCTGGAGTGGGTAGGGACACTGCTCCCTTACCTGGAATGATGTCTGGCTTTTTTTTCCCACCCCAGACATCCTTTACTAGACCAGTCACTACCACCTTTCCCCACAAGCCTCATCTCACTTGTATTCCTTAGGCTGCCATGACCGCAGCATCACTGCTGCAGCATCACTGCAGTACCTTTGTGCAAGGGGCAGGTGGCCGTGGGAGAGGCCACAGGAGAGAGCAAGCCCAGGTGCACCACAGGCTGGAGCTGTCTGCCCACCGAAACTGCCCAGGCGGCTGTGACTGAAATTTAATTTGCCTGGTGCATTCCGTGGACATTTTAATCAGCATTTCCTACAATCTACTTGGCAAAGAGGCTCGATTGGCAGCTGCCTGACTGAATGGGCTTTGCACCCAGTCTAACCTTCTCCATTCGCAATTTCCAGTGCTGGAAAACCTCTCTGTCTCACTTTCAGAAGTTTCTATAGCAATCACAGCCATCCTAGTGAAGCACTGGAAATGGCAGCCCATTCAGATTGTAATTTTGCTGGACAGTAATTGCTCCTCTCTCCACTGGCCTCTGAAATGTTACTTTTTGGGAGATATCAACTGCAACTGGAGGAGACCGGTCCTCTGCCTGTGTTTCCAACCAGCTTTGCTCCCCCTGTCCCCTGAGGATCTTTGTTAGCTGCTTACAGTGTGTGAACCTTGATTAGCAGGGAAGTGTTGCTGGCACATCATACCTTGGCTACAGGAAAGACCTGACATGAGTGATGCTCTTAACAGGCCTGCAGGAACAAACCTCACCGCCCAACACAGCATGTTGTGACCTGAACATTATCCATCACTGCATGTAGAAAAAGATACACAAATGTGTGTGCCTTTGCTAATTGTAAAAGACCAGAGCACTCAAAGGTTTTTCCTTCGTGTCGGTGAGCTTACTTTTCCTAGTTTTGTTGACTTCAGCTTAAACACTCACTTGATCTTTTGTTCCATGCTTCATTTTTCAGTGGCTGTGATTGCTCTTAATTACTGTGACACTGAAGAACCATGCACTGAAAATACATTAAGTAACTTCTTGCAATAAGAGAATGTGGTAGAATTATCCCACAGCTTGTGAAGAAATCAGTTAACCATTTCTTAAGCTCTTGTAATAATCTTCCCCTATACTTTTATGGCTATTGTTGCCTGCTGGAAAAATTAGCTTAAAGCTGAGTAAGGGGAATTGTGGATAAGTGTTTGCAATTTGGCTTTGGACTGACATAGCGTGGTTGCACTCAGAGAATTTGAAGTCTTTGCTCTGGCAGCAGTACTCAAATCTGGAAATATAGGATTCACATTGGAAAAGAGTGGATTTTTATAACTATTTAAATGAACAATTTCAGCTAGAGAGTGGATTAACAGAGCCAACTAAACCCTTCACCCTGACAAAGAACTGGCGGGAGGACTATAGAAACACATCCAAAATTTTACCAACATGAATGCAGAGTACTAGGTCAGTGAGAAGCATTTCTGTATTTTAATGGCTCTCTTAGAAATCAATTCAATTTAAAACAAAAGTTGTTTTACAAATATGTGGAGAATGCAGAAGGCTGGAGAGGGAGCAAGTGGCCTGCATCTTCCATCTGCTCCATCCTCCCTCTCCTCTCGCACTAGGAACTGCTACTGCAAGTCCCCCTTCTGGGCAGACAGAGAAAAAAGCAGGCAGTGTCCCAAACCCGAGGGTCAGAAGTGTCTCCCATTCTGCAGGTGCATGGGTGCACCCCCAGACCCCACACCCTGTATTTTACATGTGCCAGAGCTCCTGAGGCCCAAAGCCAAGCAGCAGCAAAGTCTAAGCCCAGAGGTCTTGGGGAAGCTGAGACAGAAACCTGTGCTTCTCCATCAGAAATGAGGTTACAAAACAAGAGAATATTAAGTATCCCAGGATGAGAAGCAATCTTCACTGACAAGAGATGGACATGTTGGGGATTGCTTATCTGTGAGAGGAAATGGATCAGGACGACACAAGAGAAGCATCCACTGGACAAACAAAACTGCAAAGGCAGATTGGCAAAACTTTGAAGAATTTCAGAAGAGGCAGCAAAGCCTAGGGAATTTTTTTGGAGCAAAATTTCTAATTAAACCCTGACAGCTTACTGCTGCAGGATGTTTAAAGGGAAAACAGGATCTTAAATTGATCTGGAGAAGGGTCCAGTGTTTCCATGAGTGACAAGGCACATCTTGAACAGTAAGAATCCCAAATTATGGGGGGGAAAAAGCACTTTAATTTGTCTCGCCCTCAAGTTGTTGGAGGAAAGAGGTGGAAAATAGGATTCCAAACCCAAAAATTATGGCTGCTGGCAGCAGTAACTGAGGGAGACAAGTTTAAACTACTTCTGGAGGAGGACCTTTCTGACAAGCCATTTTCAACCCAAAAGCTGAACCATGTGTAGGGCAATGGCTACTGCTTGTGCAGGCAACCACATGCCCAGAAACTGGCACTGCTGCCAGTCCAGGTTTGCCCCCTGGATACAGAGATCTAAGAAAAAGCAATCACACCAAGTCATGAAGACCAAAGGGCTGGAGCACCTCTCCTGTGGAGACAGGCTGACAGAGGTGAGATTGTTCAGCCTGGAGAAGGCTCCAGGGAGACCTTCCAGCACCTTCCAGTACCTAAAGGGCACTGCAAGAGACCTGGAGAGGGACTTTTTACAAGGGTATGCAGTTACAGGACAAGGGGAAAAGGCTTTAAACTGAAAGAGGGAGGGCTTAGAGTGGCTATTAGGAATAAATTCTTTACTGTGAGGGTGGTGAGGCACTGGAATAGGTTTCCCAGAGCAGCTGTGGATGCCCCCCCAGTTCTGGCAGTGTTCCCAGACAGGCTGGATATGGCCTTGAGCAACCTGGTCTAGTGGGAGGTGTTCCTGCCCATGGCAGGGGAGGTTAGGATTAGATGATCTTAAAGGTCCATTCCAACCCCTTAATACTCTATTATTCTAATTAACAGTGGGTCTGTCTATCCAGAACACATATCTAAAATTATCATGAGTGACAAGTTTATAAAATCTGGATTTATTAATTTTTCTTTATTACAAGATAAACTCTTCTCAAATAACAGATGGATTTGACAGTGTTCAGTTTGTAATATACTAGATTCAAAATTATGTATTTAAAAAAATATTCTCTGTATACAAGGAAAATCCCAACAGAATTTACAAAGCCACTGTATTTCAAAAGTATAGGATCTGAGATTGTTATCAATCTTATAGGAAATTTGTTATTACAAGTAAAAGAAAAACTACACAAATGGTTTACAGTTTTAATCACAAATATCAATTTTTTTTTCTTTAGATTCTTAAAATAGATGCATTAATTAAAACAAAATCACTACGAAGAGGCACATGGTGTTTAGTGGATGACATTAATTCTGTAACCCAAACAAGGAGACTAATCCACTCTGAGCAGCTAAATTATTTTTTGCACTATTTACATACTTTACTGAAGTATTTTCATCCCAGAGCCTCAGAAAGCATCTTAGAATATTAATGAGGGAAGCCTGGCAGCATGCCAGAGTTAACAAGTAAGAAAGTAACATCATTCCCATTTTATCCACAGGGAAACTGAGGCACCAGGCGTATTCAGACCCAGGAAACTGCAGAAAGAAAAATCCTGAATCTTAATTCTGTTAGCTGCGTTATGATGGAAAGACTGCTCTTCCTCCTTGTTATGTGGCTGGTGACCCTGCTGGGCACTGTTTGAAACCTGGTCAGTTGCTTTTATTCATGTTTAGATTGCTGCAAACTAGGTGACATCTATCCAGCTGTGTTGTCATCACAAACACCTTTACTAAAAGAAAAGCCATTAATGGTTTTCCTTGTTAGATCAAAAACCAGCAACAACAAAAAGCGCATCTTCAATCCCTCCAAAGCCTTTGGAAGGCTGTCTTGTTCTACCCAAAATACTGCAATTGTTCCCTCAATCTGCACAGTAACAAATACTGAAAA